ATCCGGTCCATCAATTTACCATTCTGAACAATTCTGCCTTCCACCTCACTCTCTCTGCTCTGAGCCAAATGTAACCAAACCGTGAGAACATTTGGTGTTTGCGGCAAACTTACAGTGGAAGGCAACCACGGCGGCACTGAGTCACTGACACAGCCTGGAACCATCCAATTGTGAACTATAATTGTAATTATGTACAGGCCCTTTGTCAATACATTTCAGTATGAAGGCCTTTTCCAAGATGTTAGCAATGGGGATTGCTTGACTATATTTCACCATGCTGGCTGGTAAGTGATGGGAAATATCAACTAAAAATTATTGAACACATGAAATTAACAGTTGTTTTTACATTTAAATGCAAGTACATTCATTGACTTGTTTTACATATCCGTTGGAAAGTTACACAATGCCAGAAATAGTATTTTAATTAACTTGCCAAACCGTCATTTAAAAATAACACGAGGAAATCGTTTTAATTTTTTTTAAAAATATGTCAGAACATATATTTTATGCTCAAACAATTAAAGGAAATGTTCATTAAATAAAAAAATCACAAAGATTAAAAAACTAAAGCTTCCTTTTTGAAACTGCGGCCAATTTCTTAAAAAAAAATTCATGCAAAATCTGAAGGCACTTGGCATCAAGTTTGGATCAATCTGTGCAATACTCTCCGCTGCTACCTGGTAATACCCAAGACCACACACTCAGAATTGTTACTGGGCAGGCCGATCTTAGAGTACGTTTATTAAAGCAGAAGCTTGCGAGTTCGAATTCTGGTCAGAAGTTCACTCGCCCCATCATCCCTCTGGCACTGATAACGGAGCACAACATTACGAAATGAAATCAATTGGTGGTTGTCCTACTGGCGTACTTGCTCCCTTCATACAAAATGTGGAATTGCCACTGCCGCTTGAGGGCTGTAAGGAGATGACTTTGACTTTTTTAATTAAAAAAACATGGTTCGAAAGATCATCTCCATGCTAAAAGGCACAGAGAGGAGATCATTAAATTCCTTTCAGATTTAACCTTCTGGTTTAAGACCTCATGTGCTTAGTATCAATCAACCAAATGTTGGAAAGGGTAACAAAAGCCTCCGCGGCAGATGCGTCCTTTCACCTATAGAATCTCTGAGATAAAGCACAGTGGCACATTGAATAAGCCTCACAATGCAGTAGGAAGCACCTGTGCTGTTTGCGTCAAACTCCCCTGGGATTGGCTGCACGTGTAGATAGGTAGCATTGTCACTGGCACAACCCACACGTGTGATTGACAGATAGTCTAAGATATTGGGCACAGTCACGTGTCTAAATGCTGTCAAAACGTTCGGTGTTATTAATGAGATAGACTGTTCACAGCGACTTATAAGTGCAGCATGAAAATATTACAACATAGAAACAAAAAGTGAATTTCCCTAAACAGGAAATTAACACAGCGTGCATTTCTCAGTCATAGCCAAAGTGTCTCCATGCTGATACAAACATATATTTGCAGTGCTGGGTTGGTGGTGCATATTACACATTCCCATGGTAAAGGCAAGTCTCTTCATAGATGAGTCACTGTTGGTTTGCTACAAAGTGGTATATCTGCTTATATACCCTGGGGGAATGATGGGCTTCGTAAACCTCTGACCAGATAAAGACTGGCAGCCTTTCTATAGCGAGCCACGTGCTTCCACCACAGAGCCACTGCGTGAGACCAACTTACCATAACTATACAGTAATGTATCTTCAGCCAAAAGTATAATTCATTTGTCTTGGCTAATGAAGTTACATGTACAAGGGGGCTTTACAAAAAAAAAGAGGTCTTGCGCTTTCTCTATAATCCGTCTCCAATGTTGTCATGTTGATTGACATCCATGTGTCTTGTTTTATTCATGCAAGCGGTCAATGGCCGTCTTTTGCCAACAGATTAGTCAGTCTCTTCTGCATTGTGGAATGCTATGCTCAAAGATGCTCTGGGGTTTGCATGCAGGACAAATGGCAGTGCCATATGCACTGCTCGAATACAAACCCAGGGAGCAAAAACAGAGCCTCTCGCGAAACAATGCGAGCAGCGATGCTTGCCATGTGACATGTGACACTCAAGAATGTGAATGTAATCGGCGGAAACAAAAAAAACCAAGCGATCGCGATGGAAGACACAGCGATGGATTCGCCGTGCGATTGCGCTTATCGTCGCGATGTGGCGACACAAATCGGATGGGCGTACGACGCGCAATGATGCTCGTGTGCAGCAACAAATTGTGCTTGTGTGTAAACAGAAACAAGGTGGAACCCGCTTTGTCATATCACAACCCCCTGGGCACATCGTGGTAAGTTCCATTATTTCAATACGAATCAACCATGTACTGCTGTGGGTAGGTTCAATGTTACCGAGAATATAATGCGCTACATTTAGTATGCAATATTCAGCTTTCTAACCTAGTCCAAATGTGTAACTGTTACTTTTATGCACTCTTTCTTCAGACAGCATAGCTCAGTTAAGCTGTAAACAGCTGATTTGTTTAGACACAATGTGTCCGTGGATTTGTGCAAACAGTATATTTTTTTAAATTGGCCACTGAATGCGCACACAGCCAGCTGCTTGCAGTGACGAAAATTGGGTGCAGCTCTCCAATGTGTATCCGGGTTGAGTGAGCCGCGTGTTGTTTTGGACACGATGCTCGACCTTTCGCTCCGCGTGCTTCGTTGGAAACGTTGGACATCGTACCAAACAACGTTTGTACCAACACATTCGAGAGCTATATGCCACAACTGCAAAGATCTACACTGAAGATCGGTGTGCTTGTTTGATCCATTTACCTTCAATGAAAATTCGATTCTTGTTTCTCACGTGCCACTATTGTTTAGATTTCAAGGTTTACCAACCATTTCCAGAGGCCTGGAAATTGGCATTATGCTTTGAGTGCATCAGCTACTTGGTTGCCATGAAAATATGGACTTGGAAAATCTTTTGAAGACTGGTGTTGATGAATAACTGTGCTAGGTGTTAGGCTTTGGAGCGCACACACACTCACCCCACAACTGGCTACACGCCCAACCAAGTAGTACATGATTCAACCGTAACATAAATTATAACACAAGCATGCCCAGACCTGCAATGTCCATTACATTGGATGAGTTAAAAATTAAAGCTTAACATCTTCCCCGCTGATCCAAGCGGTAGTAATATGTTGTGGGCTGAACTGGGTCTACAGAGAACATTTACTGTTAAGAGCCTGTCTTACAAAGCAGCCAAAGTCCGTTGTAATTGCCCATGTATTTCAGGAAGGATGCAAGTGACCGTATACCACAGGAGAGCCGTTTTATGGGCTTCATATGAGGTGGCTGGTAAGCTTTTGAGGGGCGAATATCAGAGCACCGAGAAAGCACTGCTGACATCTCAGAGGGGCTTGGATTCCAACCAATCGTAAAGGTTGATGGTTCTTGGCATAGTCACTTAAGAATATATTAAAAAAAAAACTTGCACAATAATAGATATTTTTTAATTAATTCTGATTATTTACAGATCGAAGGGACTGAATAGATTTGGTTTCATTGGCATGAATTAAACTCCTTCATTTGGTGGTGACACGGCCCAGCGGTAAAGTGTTCAGCGCTTGTTGCAGAGGTTCGTGGTTTGAATCCTGCGGACCACGCTGGTTATTACTGCGAGTGTGTTAATCATACAGTGGATGTTAAAGACCCCCGGACATGATTCGATATGAGTAGGCCATGATGTGCCAGCGTCATCGTCCAAATTTTCCAAATTTGAACCATTTCTGCCAAATTCCTCAATTGGGATTACCCGTGGCAACATCACTCCCTACTGCCCTCCTCTCGTCGTCTCTGCGACATCGTGCCGGAGCGATAGCCTTGCACTATAGGAACAGTGTGAATACCAAATATAATACATTCTTCATAATTTTAGCGAAGCAAGGGCGAATTTTCAGCACCCCTTGAGTTACTTTAAGTGATTTGTTTACCTTTCCTAGACTTTGCACTCCTATCGTGGTTTTGTATTATTTGTTGGTGTAGCGTTCTGACCCACCCCAACTGGACGCCTGTGAACAAGAGCTTTATAGCTATTCTGATTATGACTTAAGGAGGCCACTACAGTAGCTCTGTGATGTCACCTTCCGGAGGCTCTTCTCTAACATGGGGCGATCAACAGAGATCTCTTCATATCATGACAATTGATACAGTAAAACCTTGGATTGCAAGTAACTTGGTCTGCGAGTGTTTTGCAAGACGAGCAAATTTTTAAAATAAATATGAATTTGATAAACGAGCGAGATCTTGCAATACGAGTAGTACGTACTATACGCTTGCCGAGCGTCACATGATCACAACTGATATACTAGTGCTTTGGATTACAAACACGTTTCCGGAACGAATTATGCTCGCAATCCAAGGTTTTACTGTATATCGTTGCTTTCAAAAGACAGGATAGACATAATACCTACCATTTGTTGACATGATACAGGTATGAGCATCCTCATTTGTTAATAGAGTTCTCCACTGCATGATACAAAGCGAGTTTCACTTTGTAAAGCAAAGCATGGAAAGAGATGTTGCCATCAGGTATGCCGAGTGTTACATTAAGTGAAGCATATGTATTAATAAAAACCTACCCAAAGGGTATTTTTAGGTTAGGGTAATTGCAGCAGAACAGATTCATGACTTTGTCACGTAGCATTCTCAAACCTTCAAAACAGTGAAAGTATATCAATATTCAAACAAGCATTGGGATGGCGGCTCATTTCTTTTGGTTGCCCTGAGCGAGTGGTGGAAATTCCACAAGGTTATGGATTAAGGAAACAACGTAGGAATATATCGCTGGGGCATAACACTCCACAGTCATGGGTGTGTCTGCAGCAATTACCCGAATTCCAGAAAAGAAAGCTCAGCGGCACACCAATGCACAGTAGGAACCGCACAGGTAAAGCATTCAGCACAGAGAGGAGAAGAAGAGCAGGGAAGGGCGGCGGCCACACACAGGCGTGGGGAGGTGCGAATACATACGAGGAAGATCGGTGCCATTGGGGTAGGTGGGAATCCACGGCTTCCCACTGTCCCGAGGCCCCTCACCGGCACCAGCCCCTGGCGTGCCCCCTCTGTCGGCGGAGGAGCCGATCCTCCTGCCGGTGTTGTCGTAGTGATAGTGGTGGTGGTGCTGGTCTATTGAGCCGGTGAACCTCCCGAAGCGGTAGAGGCCGTAGCCGGCCACGGCGCCCATCGCCCAGTAGGGTAGGTTGCTGCGCGGCTTGTAGCCGCCGTAGCCCTGGCCGCCGAAACCCTGGCCGCCGAAACCCTGGCCGCCGAAACCCCCAAATCCAGAGCCACCCCTACCAAATCCCGGAGACTGACCAAAGCCTCCAAATCCCCCAGAGCCACCATAGCCTCCACCATAACCGCCACCATAGCCGCCACCATAGCCACCGTATCCTGGATTGTTCTGGCCATAATGGTAGCCTGGTTGACCTGCAGGCTGTACTGGGGCATTCCAACCATAACCTGGTCGGTTATAGCCAGTCTGACCATAGCCTGGCTGAGCATAGCCCGGCTGACCATAACCCGACTGACCATAGCCCGGCTGACCATAGCCTGGCTGAGCATAGCCCGGCTGACCATAGCCCGGCTGACCATAGCCAGGCTGACCATAGCCCGGTTGACCCGGTTGGGCATAGCCTGGCCTAGGCTGCCCATACCCACCTCCAGGCTGTCCATACCCACCTCCAGGCTGTCCATACCCCTGTCCTGGTTGTGCCTGGCCTGGGACATAGCCGGGACCTGACTGTCCATGCCTTAGGCCAGGCTGGGCAAAACCTGGACCAGATTGTCCATAGCCAGGCTGACCATAGCCCGGATTGGGTTGTCCAAATCCGGGTCCAGGTTGACCCTGGCCTGGGACGTACCCCGGGCCTGATTGGCCGGGCCTCAGACCTGGATGAGCATAACCTGGACCAGATTGCCCATATCCAGGAACACCACCTTGGCCATATCCTGGCTGTCCAGGTTGAATTTGACCTGGCTGACCATGTCCTGGCTGGCCAAACCCTTGACCCGGTTGACCTTGAGCAGGCTGACCATATCCTGGCTGCCCATGACCTGGCTGGCCAAACCCTTGACCTGGTTGACCTTGAGCAGGCTGACCATATCCTGGCTGCCCATGACCTGGTTGGCCAAACCCTTGACCTGGTTGACCTTGAGCAGGCTGGCCATAGCCTGGCTGCCCATGACCTGGTTGGCCAAACCCTTGACCTGGTTGACCTTGAGCAGGCTGACCATATCCTGGCTGCCCATGACCTGGCTGGCCAAACCCTTGACCCGGTTGACCTTGAGCAGGCTGACCATATCCTGGCTGCCCATGACCTGGCTGGCCAAACCCTTGACCTGGTTGACCTTGAGCAGGCTGACCATATCCTGGCTGCCCATGACCTGGTTGGCCAAACCCTTGACCCGGTTGACCTTGAGCAGGCTGACCATATCCTGGCTGCCCATGACCTGGTTGGCCAAACCCTTGACCTGGTTGACCTTGAGCAGGCTGGCCATGACCTGGCTGGCCAAACCCTTGACCTGGTTGACCTTGAGCAGGCTGGCCATAGCCTGGCTGACCATATCCTGGCTGACCATGACCTGGCTGGCCAAACCCTTGACCTGGTTGACCTTGAGCAGGCTGGCCATGACCTGGCTGGCCAAACCCTTGACCCGGTTGACCTTGAGCAGGCTGGCCATAGCCTGGCTGACCATATCCTGGCTGACCATGACCTGGCTGGCCAAACCCTTGACCTGGTTGACCTTGAGCAGGCTGGCCATAGCCTGGCTGACCATGACCTGGCTGGCCAAACCCTTGACCCGGTTGACCTTGAGCAGGCTGGCCATACCCTGGCGCAGCCTGGCCCACTCCAGGGGCCGGCTGCTCCGCTTTGACATTGGGACTCGCGACCCTGGGCACAGAGCCTGGGTGAACCGCACTGGAACCTCCCATCACAGCTCCGCCCGCCACGGCACCGCCCGCCACGGCACCGCCGGCCGCAGCGCCGCCGGCTGCCGGGTAGGGGAACCCGCCGGGCTTGTTGTCGAGAGGTTTGGAAGCTGCCCCGGGGTTTTTAGGGATAGGACGGAACACAGGGGGGGCCCACGCCGGGTTTGAAGGTGGGTTGGCCGCCCCTGGGTTGGAGGATCCAGATGTGCGGGACGTGTCGGGTTTCGGCTTGTAGTGCGAGTCCGTTTGGCTGCTGCCGCCGCCGCCCGTGCCTGTTCTGGAGCCGGAGCCAGAGCTGGAGCCAGGCTTGGTCTTCTGGGTGTTGCTCCCTGCGCTGTGGCTGGAGCCACCACGAGACCGGCTGCCACCGGTGCGGCTACCGCCGCTGCCCTTCCTGGCCCCTGCGAGAACATAGTCAACAATGCTGGTAAGTTAACATTACATTGGTATTATTTTTCAATTGCCATCTGGAGCAGTGGTATTTGGTCGCAATATGTTATGCATCTCATTGGCCAGTTCCAACCACTCCCATGCGTACCAACATTAAGCAAAAGGGGTAGACACAATGCCACCCCTGGCCAATAACAAGCCTCCTTTTACAGTTTAATTTGCATATCGAGAACCCTATGGCCATGCAAGGAGCAGTTTTTAAACATGAGACACAATGCTATTCCGAGTACAATTATCAATGTGCTAAAAATATTGATTTCTAAATGTAATATTTACAAATGCATTTTCTATCCTCACCTAAATATCCAAAGTCAACGTGGGTTTTACATTCTGCATACAAGCTGTATATATGTAGCGAAATAACACTGTCATGACATAATTCTCAAGAACGGTTTCATTCAAATGAACTCGTCATTCATTGTATAAGTTGAGTGAAGGCAGTTGACTTAATACATCACATTTTGCGTGACCACTAAGCTATTTATGCAAGCATAACATTTGCTTGGATCATAACGCGCATGGGAAATTGCTAAATAATAATTGCAGTGCTTTTCTTGCAAATTCCTTCTGAAAACAGTTAAAACTGTGGGAAACTTTCTTGAATAGTCAAAAGTTAAATATTCTCTGAGCAATGGGAGGGAGAACCCATCCTCGATGGCTCAGTGCCCCAAATAGAGGATGGAATTTACATATTCCCATGGTGGGAGCCAGTTTTTTCATAGGATAATCACCATTGACTTTCTATAAAGTGGCACATATGTTACCTAACCAGATGGATGTTTGAATAATTTTACCCCAATATATGTGATTGTCAATCGAGTGGTCTGCGAAGTGCGACCTGGCCGGATGACTCATCCAGGTAATACATAACTAAGTACATAAGATCAGCATGCCAGGAAATAAACTATATTACTGCATATTGGAGAGTGGGAGCTGTATACGTTCAAATATATATTTTTAATGAGCTGGAAAGTATAAAGGATTTTTTCCTCTTCGTTTCAACCAGTGAGGCCTTAGCAATGAACCACCACTGCTTAAGATGCACAACAAAAACGTGCTTTGTTTCTGCAAAGCAGAAAAAAGCGCACTGTAAAAGCGGTTAGATTATTTAAAAAATAACGCTTGAAATAAATAGACCTGACACAGTTCCATTATGGCTCCACAATGGCCTCGCAGAAGAAAAAGTGAAAAAAGCTTCAACTCCATTTAAGGCACTGGCCTTGAAATAACACAAAGCAAAATATATTCCTCGCTCTGTAAAATGGGACTGCAACGTCTGGCATCTCATCCTAGCCAAACAGCTCCTTCTCTTTTATAGCCCATCCTCGTTATTCCCGTTCGCCTTTGCGGTTTTAACTGGTCAGCTGACACTGCCGCTAGAACACATGACTCACAGTTGGAATTATGCAAGTTCAAATCCCGGCAAAGGGGTCAAACTCAGCCTATCATCTCCCTGGAGTCAATAATAAAATCACCACCACTTTGTGTGACGTCAAGTGAGGCTACACTTATGTTAGACTGGCCCCCGTTATAGGAATAGAGCACTTACACCAAAGGCGTGTGGCCGCAAACTGAGATTAGCATTGCCAGATATACAACGTGACGTATTGTTGCTTGCTACACCGCTTTTGCACTGCTTCAAAGTGGGCCATTCCAGGGACATTTTGAACCAGCCCGGAACGGCTCAAGTTGTTTTCCACTATAAAACCCGAGCAGTGCCGCTGACACCACACACAATGAATGCAAAATAAATATCAGTGTCATCCCACTGGCGTTGATCCCTCTGGCGTTGATCCCTCTGGCAATGATAAGATAAGAATTACTTCGTGGGTAGACAACAATCGGTGTCCTATGGATTGAGTCTCCACCACCATGGGATTGGTGAATTTCCACCATTGCATCAAGGCTTTAGAGTGCAGAAGAGCATCGCCCAAAGATCACGGGAGCATCGTGACAGTGATGTTTGTTATCATTCCATTATATTGCAGTGGATGGGTACACACCGCTTGCACACATGTATTAGGATTGCGTTCCCAAGTTTCATATTAATCTAAATATTCCAAACATTGGTAGTCCTAGACTACATTTCTAGAAACAAAATATGTTTCGGACTGATCTAAATATGACATCATAGGAAGGCACATCACTTTCATACTTTTCCTGCCCAGTGTCATTACGTGACATCATCTTGACAAGAAGTGATAGATGTTGCTTTTGTTTAATTTATCAAAATACAGAAATGTTTACATTGAGATTATTGTTTGACTAATGAAACTTGGTAAGTAAAAATTTGCAATTATTATTATTTACAATTATTTAAAATTAATTAAAGGGAATGCATCAAAAAATGTAAGTTTTTTTTTATTATACCAACTAAAATCAGAAAACATGAAACAAAACCCATCATAAAGGCCGCTGGTCAATCAGTAAATTATTTCATTCCAATTGTCACTACTCATGATGAGCAACTCTACAAGGTCACACCGAATGACAGGCATCGCGATGAGAAACATGAAATTCCATTTGAATAACAAATAGAAACCCAGTTTCCTGCATCGTTGTGTCATTTTATTTCCTCAATGCTCTGAAGAGATGGAGACCAAAGTTCAATGCGAAAAAAATAATCCAATGTTGTTCTTTTCCCCATTACACCACGATACAATTCTATTCTCGGAATGTTTCAATTGCTGATCTGTGGTTAAATAGATGTCACACGCATCTGTGTATACACACTCCTATATTGTCCCCCATGTGGTTTCTTATTGTTGTGAAATTCTATTGAAATATATAAAAAAATATAACAACAGACAATGGCCCAGCAAAAACACAGAGGACTACACAGCACATCATGTGATATTTTAACGTCACTGCATCTTATTTGTTAGCCGATGTAACGTGTAATTACAGAACGATAACATTACTTGACCCTGTGATAGTGTTACCACATAAAAGGAAAGATAGCAGTTGGAAATTATGACTGGTTTAGTTGTATTATTGGTTCTTTCGGTAAAGTCACGTAGAAGGGAAGTAATAAAATAATAAAAATAAAACATAATAAAACAATTCTCACGACGTTTCGGCCACAACGCAAGCAGCCGTCCTCAGGTGAAAACCAGGTCCGTCGAGGCGACAGAGTCTGAATGAAACAGCACACGGGCTTGGAGCATATATATAAGCTGGGCGCATTGACAAAGGAATTTGCATATCAATATATGCTCCAAGCCCGTGTGCTGTTTCATTCAGACTCTGTCGCCTCGACGGACCTGGTTTTCACCTGAGGACGGCTGCTTGCGTTGTGGCCGAAACGTCGTGAGAATTGTTTTATTATGTTTTATTTTTATTATTTTATTACTTCCCTTCTACGTGACTTTACCGAAAGAACCAAGAAGATGAATCCCTGCAGTCACGAAAGCTTTAAATCGAAATTTGGTTTAGTTGTATTATTTAAATATGTATTCGAGTTAACATAACATGCAAGGTGAATAGGACTGTGATTAAAATGATTAAACAATAGGGTCAGAGTTTATATTTTCGGAGGCAATGGAATGGCTCATGAACAGACTCATGTTAAACTGCTGCCTATGCAGTTAATAAAAGCACAGATTAACAATACAATGAATATTGGGTCATCAGTTTCAAAAGTGGCTACTTTATGGCGAAGATTCCCTCCACCATAAGAATGTGGAATTTACACCACTGCCTTAGAGCCTCCAATATATACGAACATCAGGCAAGGTGGTTATATGATAGAAAAAATTATGATATGAAGTTTCTAGTACTGGTTCTGGACTCTCACTGAAGATAAGCCCTGTCCAATGCTCATTTGAGTGAAGGGCAGGATTGGGTTTTAATAATGAAAAGCAAGTACTAAACTAGTGACCTAATACAATTATTTTAATGAAATACATGTTGGGAGGGGGCAGGCAGAGGGGGACCCCTACAGAGCAAGAATTTCATAAATGTGATTAAAAATTGTAGTGGTCATAGATAGACTGGCTCCTACCACTGGAACGTGGACTTTCCACCAATTAATTAGGGCTGCCTATACAAATATTTGTCCTGCATTGGTCTTTAGAGCAGGAACACCGTTTTACTTGTTGGCATGCGCCATACATCAAAGTCACAAATCACCTCCATTTGCCATTTTAGTCCAACTTGATTTGAAATAATTTTAACATTTACTTATTTCAAATTAATCACGCAGTGAGTGAGTTTACGAACCCGCGGCTCGCTCACTTGGGCAGAGGCTGTTCCTCCTATTAAGTGGAAAATTACAGCACTGGCACTGCATCTGGTCAGCATCGCCCCACTTACAGCAAAAATCCGCTAAGACGCGCCAGACTGCTTACCCCAAATCCAGGAAATTATAAGCTGCCTATTTCTCCAGATTCAAACAAATCACAGAGATGAGACTTGACCTGACAGCCTGCTGTGAAAATGCCCTGGCTTGGTTGGAAAGTTGGCATTGTGGTCTAGGATGTGATCTAATGGACTAATTTCTTTGCTGTGCTCACTTTTTAAGTTTTTTTGTGCTTTGTGTTTGGGTGCCATTCGTTTATTTATTTATTCGTTTTTTTATTTTGCTTGGTAGTAGGGTTTTCATTCGCTTGGTAGTGGTTGTATAATTGGATGTGGTTCTTATATATAATTCATGTACAGCGTTATGGGATGGGTATTAGCATGAATGATATGCACCTCCAATTAGTAAGAATGGCTATGTACGGTGTGAAAGAAATACAACATTGTACATACACAATGAAAGTTATTATGAATGGAGTCAGGGGTGAAAACTGGGACTGGGTAGGCAGCAGTAGAAGGAGGGGGGCGGGGAGGGGGGTCAATGGCTGCGCTATCGCCCTGTCGAGGCGGGACAGAGGAAGGATTGTACCTGCGAGGCAGACGACTGCGAGTAGCGCCAACAGAAGCACGAGGCCCCGGGCTGCCCTCATCCCTCCTGACCTTCACAAGCCAACACCACTCGCTCTGCCAGTCCCAGTCGACAACAAAAGGACACTGCAGAAAAAAAAACACATCATCGCCGTCAACATCACAATCATCGTCATCACAATTTAATAGCTATTTATTATGTGCCGGGTAAAGAAAGTAGCAGCAGACAAAATAATTACATGTACAAAAACGCGAACTATACTTATAAAACTAGGCGAGAGCCCATTGATTTAAAAGGTCCCTTTTTCCAAGATAACCCTAGGCAAGGTTACAACAGGAAGACTGTGATTTTATATTCAATTCCTCTGGCATCAATTAAATGAGTACCACTTAGTCACGTGTTAGCCGTCGTTGCCACCGATGGCTCAGGTTAGCCAATGGAGACAAGCGCCGCCCCACACGTTCTTTTGAGCAGGATGACCCTTGAACTTTAAGGCTTTTCAAATATGACATCGCATTGAAATACGGACAGATTTTTTTGCCTTGAATGCAACGGAAACAGTCCCATCATTACACTTTCTGAACAAAGAAATTACCCTGCACGGCGGTTCGCTCGTGTCTGGATGGAGAAGTTCTTTTCCTCTAATGAGTCGCTGGGTAAAGCGACCCAGCTTTCCCCGCAGGGAAAGGCAGGCAGACAGACAGACGCGTTTGTGCCTAGAGCCACCATGGCAACAATAACAACCGCACGCTTTGCAGAGGGAGATAAAAGGGGGTTTCATGAATTTAAAAGAAGCATTTGTCTTTGCCATGAGACCAATATCTTCAATCACTCAAACAAGATCTGACCAAGTGGTGCCGAGGGCAGAATTCTGCTCGTAAATGGGGAGAACGTGAGAGTAAACAGCAGCGTCGTTACCCAGGGGTCGATGGGTTTCAATGTGCGGGAAGCCAACAGAGGCTGTTCTTTAAACATTGGCCCTCGTTCTGGGAATGTCGAATTTTCACGACTATCAGGGTGACTTTTGGAGATCAGTGGTACACTACGACCTATTTACGATGGAGGCGATCGGAATTCAATTTGTGATATACTTGTGAGTACATGTCAGAATCTGAATATTTATTTAGACTGGAGGAATCCGATGAGCTGTAAAGCTCTTTATAACAGCTGTAACAGTGGAGAGAGGTGGCACAGTGGCCAGTGCACTGCGTTACAAAACCCGGCGACTCGAGTTCAATTCCCACTCACAGCCAACATCAGTCACAAACACCGGTACTGGTCCTGGGCATCCCCTCGATCGGCTCAGCCTTAAATGAGTACCCAGTGACAAAGGTGGCCAGGTGTGGTGTAGACACCCACCACCTCCTTTGTGTGTCATACAGGCCTTCAAATAGATGCTCACTAACAATACTTGCACCATGATGTACGGTAGATATGTGTTATGGTGAGCAGTTGCGGAGTGGTTAGCATGCAGCACAACAAAACAGCTTTGGCAACGGGGATTCAATTTGCAGTCAGAGCCAGACACATCCATTCCACGCAGTATCATAACCTATACCGAGCCTCCCCAACGTTGGCTCAGCCTAAATGTGTTGGGTGTGCAAAGATCAGCACTGGTGAGACACAGGGGGGCAGCTATGGTGCTGGACACACAATTTGCTCACGCACCGTGCAGGCCTTAATTGGTGGCGATCACTAACAGCACTTGCCTCGTGAATTTAAACGGATACACAGACAGGGAAAGTGTTGTTCGTCAGCAACAACCGATGACAGAATGGATCACAGCGGCATGGTGTGGTCAGTGTTTTTCAGCTTCATTTTCATTTATTTGGTATAGCCCTGTGAGCCATTCGGCTCTTGAAATCGGGTGCAACCGCAACAAACAAAAAACATAAACAAGAAAACATCTTAAAGTGACTATGTGACTATGTGCAAACAGAAAATCCAAGAAAATGACAGCAAAATATTGCAGAAAAACCACTGTACACCAACGCTGTGTGCAAAAATCCCAGTGGGACGCAAGTCAAACAACAACAACAACCACAAGCCAACTTAGATTAAGGCCATCAGTCTAACTCCATACTACAACAAACAAACATGGCCAAACCAAAAAACTTTTCGAAATCACCAAAATAAAGCCATAAAATAAATGTCACAGTGATCATATGAACTGTGACCGAATTTTCACAATAAACGACACAAACAACATGTACCACCAAACCCTGCAGCCTTAACTAGCTGCATAAGTCACTCCACAACAGCACGAGCATCAGTCGGAGTATCAACATTTTTCCATGCACCTTTAAGATCAGCACACTAAATCAAAACACAGATCACCACGGCTGGCCTCCATTGCCTTCCAGTGCTGTTATTTGCTCACCACGCCCAACACTCGTTTAAGGCCGAGTCGACCGAGCGGAGATACTGGACCGGATCAGATATCACTCGCCAACTGACGTCAGCCACGGTTGGGAGTCAAACAGTGCTCGCCAACTGCTGCGCCACCACTCCTCCATATGCACAAACGCAGCATGCACGCATCGATTGGCAGTTGCAGTTAATTTGAGTACATGTTTCTGAAGGTTGCATACCAATGCAATTTTGCTATTTCCACTCCTTCCTATAAAGGAGTGGTGTTGTTGCTATGGGAGGACATCCAAACAGTTTGAACTGAAAGATGTCAAAGGGCGAGGGAAAGTTAGCAAAAGTATTTATTTTCCTGGATCATATAAAACACATCTTACCAGATGCTTGCCTCACCATAAAAATAAACACCAAGTCTGGCCCTTTTTTGTTTAATTATTTTACCAAAACACAAATGTCACTCCACAGAATCAATAACAAAGATCAAAGGCAAAACTGTCTCCTTGTTGAAATTAAAATGGTGTGGCACAGTGGTGAGCATTCCTTATTGCTATCGCAGGGTCAATAAAATAGTATCTAAGAGTATTTATTGTATAAATTCTATGGGGATGAATAGGCGAGATGATTGCCAAACTGGAGTTTAACTTAAAACCTTTCAACGATGCCACCTGGCTTGATAATTAGGAGTATTATATACTGTATGAATAATTTATACATACAGTAGACATTACTTGTCTGAATCGAATGCCAAAGTAATTTACTGCATAATTCTTTTTACCAGCAAGATGCAATTTAAAAAGACTTTGTTGAATTAAAATAATAATAATGTTAAGCTCTTGGTCAATCCACCGTTGGATGAAGGCCACCCATTTGGGGTTTGTTTGCCCGTAGCTTCACCACGCAGGTCACTGTAAATTGGTGAAATGTGTGGCGGCTAATTGTCAACCCGCCGCTAATTCTGTCTGTGGTTGGAAGTTGAACGCGGGTTTAGCAGGTTCACAACGCGCGGGCAAAGCCGCTGACCCTTAGCTTCATCCAAAATGGGCTGAGCAAATCTAAAAGAGGCCCATGTCAGGTACAAGTAAATGTACATAGATTTCTCGACACAATATTGAAAAGAATTGAGACCGGAAACGGTCATACAATGGTTTTCCGATAAGATGAATAATACATAATCATAACTTATGTACAAAGGATTTTCCAAACACCAGTCAACATAAATAATGTAAGCTTATGTAACGTACATAATTACTTATTCATCATCATCTTCTTGTACTGTAAACACTTTCTGTCACTATCAAAGTCTAATGAAGCAGAAAAGCGTATCACTCCAAAATACATTTAACAAAAACAATTAAGAATTATGTAGGACATTAAAGCAACATAAACACTATGGTTATAGAAAAAGATAACTATTCTAAAACAAGTTTCACTGTTGTTGTAGCTTATCTCAAAGGACCATACCAACTTTATAGTGGTATGTCATATACAATTATCTTTATAGCATGTACGAGGTCATAAAGTCAGTCATCGTGTGCTAAAAGGAGCATTGAGGTGGTCCTCATCTGTTTCCATCTCAGAGCTTACGGTGGAAATTCCACATTCCTTCAGCAGTCTAGTTTATCCAAAGCACAACCACTTTTTACTTCCCTACAAAGTGGCAACCTTATGATTGCGAGCCCCTCCCTCTACCGCGGAGTCACCTGACCTGTAGTTAAACTTAAAAAAATATGTACGCTACTTACTTTAGTTTTGACATTTCCACCAATTATATCTCAATCATGTTTTCAACATGCTGGCAGTGTTTTGAGTAATCGTTCAAATGGTCTAAATATGCCTCCTCTCGATATCTTTCAAGACCCATCTTATTACAGCCAATAGATAATGCTCTTCAGCTCTGAAGTTGGCCTCTCCTCGGTTTTGTCGTACATTATATCACCAATTACGTCTCAATTGAGCCATCAGTCATGCCATGAAAGTCAGAAGCGTGTCATGTCATATCGTATCAGGGATAGGCTTTGGACTATGACAACCAAGAACTTCTAAATTCACTTTAATGGATTTCCATCAAACACTATATGGTGTTCTTGTGTGCCATGTAAACTTCGTTCGTTCATTTCTCAATCCACTCTGCCTTGTGAACGCATCCAGGTGTACAGTACGATGTGTCGTCAACATTTGTCATTTCTCTTTGCTGAATAGTGCCTAATTTTGTGAAAATCCTATTTACTGTCATTGTTACAGGAAGTTGGCAATGAGCGGGCTGATACCATTGAATAATTGCAATAAATAATCAATAATGAGGACTGGAGTCTACCGAGATCCAAAACCAGTGGTTTTCGATTTGTGCTACAACATGGCAAATGTTGAATGTGTTGCTGTGTCCAACACACACACTTAGCTCTCTACAAGGTGCGTCATAAGTTACTACCCGATTCGAAAGTGGGATTTTGCGTTAAATGATTTTGCTTACATTTGTGCAAGAAATAAAGTAGAAGCATGTCAATTGGTGCAAGAATTTCAGCCCAGAGACCATCAAAGCCGCCGAGAGTGATGGAAAATGCCGTTGAAAGAGCACGGATTTGCCAACGCATTTACAAGATATTATTTTTCATGCGTAATTATATCGAATCGCCATGAATTCAATCATTTTCTATCATTTAGAGTTCGTGCTTTTATGTAATTCTTCAAAAGTTATAGGCAAAAGAAATCCGGTCGTTACTTACGGCCTACCCTCTACAACCTCGATGTCAAGACTGGATCACTCACAACAATAAAAAAATGCTCACCCCACTTTATTTAACAAGTTCCAACAAAGCGGCAACGAAGAACGTTGCAACGTGACGCTGCGTTGCAATTGAAATTCACCACAAGCGCTTGTGGCAAGAAAGACTTTGGAAAACTCGCCACACAGCAAATAGCCGATGCAAACGTACACCGTGTTGATGAATTATTTACAACTTCTGTGGCAGTCAGCATTTCAAGCTCGTAACATTTTTTTTTCAAACTCACTCGGCTGCCACACGCATACGAATTCATTCTTTTTTACAAAAGTGTATACTTTTGTACGTAACATATACAGTATATCCCTATTTAATTTATTAACATATCATAACCACAACCCCCAGAACATAGTCAATGCTCTTTGTGTAGTTGCAATTAAAGCTGGGCTTAGCCAAACTAATGTTAGCCACAGCAATGTAGAATTTACACACTCTGACAAAGGGCCAGTTTAAATTAACCCAAAAACCTCTTATGGATAATATTGATGGCGAAAGCCTTCGTGTTAAACTGGCCGGTTTGAAGTGTCATGCAGTGCTGTATTTATTCATTTTAATGTATTGTATGCTGCGTACTTGTGGTAAGTGTATTTGAAATAGGAGTTAAGTCAGTCCATTTGTCAATCACTGGAAACGTTATGACAAGCCAGGTACCTGACCTGGCTGCATGAATGTTTGAGTTATCTCCTCATACGAGTGGCCTGACAAAATGTAAACTTCCTCGCCTGGTATACAGGAGGTCGTGGGTTCAATCCCGACCCTGACACCTGTACATTTGCATGTTCTCCACGTGGTCGCGTGGATATTTCTCCGGATCCTTCGTTTTTTTCCCTGCCACATTTAGAAACAACATGTGTTTCGAGTATTTGACTGCTATACATTTCCACATGATAAGCCGCTTCATTAGGCTATCATTTATGGCCAGGTTGCTTCTGAAAAAGAGCTATGTAGCTCGGTGGGCCTTACCTGATGAAATCAAAATAGTTTATAGTTTAGTTTCGTTTTCCAGGTACCCCAGCTACCTCACACAGGTAAAATTCTCATTCAGGAAGCGACCCAACATTCCAATGCAACTTACCTGAAAAAGTGTCTTGAGACTCAGTGAGGCTTTCCTTAAAAAAACGAGGCTACTATTACAGCCACTTGGGAATGTGCTTTCAGAGTCAGTGTCACCATGTACTCCCATGCTCAAATTATTATTTAAGGCCTTTCCTGTGCTTGTGGTGCTAAACCACATTCCTATGTGTAATGAGTAGCAAAACCGCAAATGAATAGCCACAAAGTAAATTACATAAGAGACTAAGTTAACATCCGACCAACTTTCTAAATGAAAGTTGTGACCTTTGACCACAGCACTGCCAAATTAATCATTACACCTGCATTTTTTAAAATGAAAATGGTAATTACAAATGGCGTTCATTAGGCGAGTAAAAATCACTCGAGTTACTCTTTGGTTCTTTCGGTAAAGTCACGCAGAAAGAAATTAAATTAAATAATATTATCTAGTTTGAACCACCTCTAATGGGGAGAATTTGCCGTGCTTGTCTGTTTCACACTTAACTTCTAATTTAGCAATCTTCAGAAGAACGTAATCAATCAGGCTATGCGTTAACTGCGTGTAATTCTCTCCTCCGGCTGCTATGGGCAGGAATTCCACACAACTCCCCCTCTGCCCCACCCCCTCTCTCTCTATGTAAGGCCTCGACACAGAGGCGTTGTCTTTCTGTGTGCCTATGTTGTGAGTCTCTCTCTGCTTGTGTGTCTGTCTGTGTGTCTCCGTGTCTATGTTTTGTCTCTCTCTCAAATTTTACAATCTTTCGAAGAACGTAATCAACCAAGTGGGGTGTTGAATGTTTTGTTGGCCGATTCTCTGTGTTGTATTGCATTATATTTCCAAGTTTACTATTTTTTTTCTCATTCATTTGTACCTGATAATGGTTGCTTGTGTTGCAATCGAAACGTCGTATTCTATTATTATTTAATTTATTTCTACGTGACTTTACCGAAAGAACCAAAGAGCAATTCCTGCAGTCACGAAAGCTTCGAATCTAGTACCACTCAAGTTGATAACATCATTAGTGTACAGTGTTACCACGCGTACGACCGTAGAGGTTGCATTGGATATATTAGAAATGCACAACTTTAAGGCACGCTATATTATAAGGATTTTATTACGTTAGATGATCCACCTACCATAATAAATAAATAAATATTCCTTCGCAAACCAACCGCGGTACTTTAATAGACGTAGTTACAATCGATAATAATTTAGCAATTGTGTCCTTT